TGAGAGAGAATGAGGAATTCAGCATGCCTACGTTTTGAGCCTGAGGGACTGGGAGGATGGTGCTGCCTTGGGCAGTGACAGAGAAGGTAGGAGCAGAAAGGGTTTAGAGGGGAAAGGAGATCTATTTTAGACACGTTGAGTTAGAGATGTCTACTGGACACCCAGTCTAAGATGGCCTGGGCAGAATGGCCCAGGGCCCAGGACAGAGCCCTAAGGACACGTCTGTCATTAGATCTGGAGGATGAGCCAGCAAAAGAGACAGAGGAGTGGCCAGAGAGGGAGGAGGAGAGCGGGGTCGGGGGAGGAGTGTCCTGAAAAACTGGAGAAGAGGGTGCTCGACAATACTAAAGGCCAAAGAGAATGAGGATTGAAAAAGCCATGAAGAGACTCCTGGTAACTTTGGAGAAAGCAGCTTAGACGGATGAGATTGGATGCTGGCTTCGGAGGCACTGAGAAGAGAACGAGGGGAGAAGGGGAGGCCCCTGTTGTAGATGGCCTCCTCGTGGAGTTTAGCCACAGAGGGCAGAAGTGATGTAGCACCAGAGTTAGTAGGGATGAGAGGATCAAATGAGGGGTTTTTGAAGCTTGGGGAGACACGGGTATGTCTCTAGGCAGTAGGGAAGGGGCCCGTAGACAGGGAGAGATTGAAGAGGAAAGAGAATGAGGATATTAGAGGGGGCAATCTGCTGGAGGAGACGAGATGCAATGAGGTTGCTTGTGCTGGTCAAGGGCCTTGCCTGGCCAGGAGGTAGGAGTGAAGGAGGAGATAGTGGCAGAATATACAGGAGTGGTTTGATATGAATAACGACGGCAGAAGAGGAAGCTGGTGGCTAATGGCTTCAATTTTGGGGGTATGATATGAGACAAGGTTTTCAGCCGATAGGGCATAGGTGGTGGGGAGGAAGAGCCATGGGAGATTTGAAGAGGGATGAAAAGGTTTCGAAGGGCTGTGGAGAGTGGGAGAGTGAGTGGACAAGGTAGAGAGAGTAGGATTGCCTGGCAGCAGGGAGGGCCCAGCTGAGGTTGTATAACGTAAATTTGTGATGGATCCAGTCAGAGAACATTGGCCTGATCTTCTCCACCTTCATTCAGCAGCACGTGTGGAGAAGTGAAGGCCACTGGTGATCCTAGGCTGTGACTTAGCTGGGCATTCACGAGAGGAGAGTAGGGAGAAGTTTTCTCATGAACGAGGATGTCAGGAAGCCACTGGTGGTCCAGTTGAACTGGAACATGGAGTTAGTGGGGGAGAGTCAGGTGAAATAAGTCAGAGGAGCGGATGGGAACCAAAGAATGAAGGGTGTGAGGCACTAGGCTGACACGAGGCTATTCCCAAGGCAGTGGGGAGCCACTGAAGCTTCTTGACAGAGGAGTGACATGGACCTGCCCTAGGATATGAACTTCTATCTTAGGAAGAGTTAGACTGATCTGTGGAATATCCCAATAGGTCTGTCATCTCTCAAGACATCCTCAGTGCCTGCAATGATCCGGCTCACAGCCCACCCTCAGCCACTCTTGTCCACGTCTTCCACACAACATACTCAGGAGCCAACCTGTCTGAGACTGGATTTGAACTCGGGGCTTCTTCACTCCAGTTCACCCCACTAGGCCCCCTCCTTTGGCTTACAGTTGCCCCAGACAGCCACTATTGAGGAGAAGACAGAGCCAAAGAGCCCTGGGTCCGAGGGCCTGGCCCTTGCCATGTAGCTTTAGTTCCCCTGACAGATGTCACACCGATGACATTGGGGATGATTCAGCCACAGGAGGTGAGGGCTATGTCTCTTGAGCCCCCGGAGTTGCTGGAGTGGGGAGAAAAGAGCTCAGCTGAGGAGCGGTCCTGCCCACCCCCTGCACCCAATGACCAGGCAAGTGCTGGTGAGCACTGGGCTCCAGGCCCCAGCACTGGGCAAACCAGGAAGTGTCTATACATGTCAGTGATTCTGATTAGCGGCATCAGTATTACGGCAACGGCTGCCAGGCTGGACAATCAAATGTTACAGAAAGAGAATTTTATTTTGCCCTTAGAAAGAAAAAATACAAAGAAATACGAGCCTTGTATGAAGTAGCAGAGAGAAAGAGGGTCATAGAGTGCATGCACAAGGCAGTGGACACAAAGAAATCCTTTTTGAAATGATTACAAAACAAATGAATACGAAGTAATTCATACCAAAATAGTTATTGATGCATTTGTATTTAAATGAACTTCATTTAATACGTAATAAAGTATCCCTATATAACTCGAAGTATAAAAGCAGCAAAAATTAATCAACGCACCCAACATTCATCGCTAGGCTACTATGTGGGAGGTGCTGTGCTAGATGCTCAATACTTCATCCTCACAAGGTCCCTGAGATAGAAGTGCTATGACTCCCATTTTACACTTGAAGAAACTGAGAAAACTCAGAGGTTAAGTGACTTACCCAGGGTCATACAGCTAACAAGTTTCTGAGGATGGTTGTGAACTCAGGTCTTCCTCACTAGATGTACAATATCTATTGTAACTATATAAAGAATGGGAATTATAAAAAATGGATAAGGTATAGATAAGGGATGCCCTGAAGACTGTAACCCGGAAGGATTAGGACCAATCCTGATCCAGAAGAGAAGAGTTAGGCAATTACTAACTATAAAGCTTGCTCTGGCTTCTTTTACACGCACATTTCTCCCCTCTGAAGGAGGTGTGCCCACTTCTCTAGAAAATCCAAAGGACGCACTTCAGCCTCTTTAATAAAAAGTCTCAGAGACACTAGCCTTTGGAAATGAGTCTAGGGTCTTCTTTATAACAAAAATTATGTAAAAAAATCATTGGCTCCAACTCAGTGGCCATCTGCAGTAGAAACTGATCCATAACAGTGCCACACACATGCAGTCTCTCACCTCTGCAAAGAAGAAAAGGAGGTATATAAAAATATTTCGTTTTCTCCCAATTACATGTAAAGACAATTTTAAACATTCACTTTTTTGGGGTAAATTTTTAAAAATTCATTTTAAACTTAAATACAAAATGAGAGAAGAAAAAAAAGAACATGACCGTGTACACAGTGATGGGGTATGGGCCCAAGCCAAGACCTTTGCCCCTCACCCTTCGTCTACAGGCCCCAGAAAACCTTTAAACTTTTATTTTTAGGCCCTGTCTCCCTGGTTCTTTGATACCCTAATGCAGCCTAGTTTATTTCCCGTGTTTGATCTTATCCAGACCCCATTCAACCTCTTCCTTCCCTGCCTTCCAGTTCTTTGTTACCCTGATGGAGCCTAGCCCTCCACTGTCTATTCCCTGACAACCCCATTCAGACTCCCAGACACTCCCATTGGGATTCTCCCCAAAATCTTCAGGATCCTCCTCCCGGCCCTTGCTCCGAAAACCCCATATTACTTGGCTGTATATAAGATCCATCCTGGCCCCCATTTAAACACTGAGATTTCCTTTCACCCGCTTGTCCTTATGGGCATCAATAATGTTCAGATTCCTTAAGAGTTTGGCCTATACGGTTCATATCTAAGAAAACCCTGTCTCTGCTGAAAGAAGACTCGGGTCAAATTCATGTGGGCAGGAGCCGCATGTCATGATACCCACGTGTCGTGATTTTGGGGTCCCAGCACCCCTAGCATTTACACCTCAACACACAGCAGAACATGAAAGGATTCAATGTAAAAGAATAAATTTCCATTTCAAAAAAGCCTACATGACAAATACTATACATTGTTTTTAAAGCTGCCCGGTTTGTCTATTTCTTTGTAGGTTTTCTTTTGTTCTCTGCTGTGCACTTTTTAACTTTATTTCCCTCCCCCCAAACTACAATTAAATACAGGTACACACGCACAGATATCTATAAACATATGCATATGTAAGACTGTAATGCGCTCATTGCCTCCTGTCATCTGTTTCTCTGGAGGTGGACAGCATCGTCCTTCACAGGACCAAGTCTTTCCGTGTTTTTCAAAATCCACCAGGTCGTCATTTCCCACACCACAGCAATATTCCAAACCAATCACATCCTATCTGAGATACTGTCTGTTAAAATTGCCCACCCCCACCCCCCAATTTTCTGCATTCCTTCTATTCTTGGCTACATTGATTTTATTTAGACAAGACAATTTTAATTAAAAATAGTCAAAATTATCCATTTCACATTTCAACAATGCTCTCACCTTATAATATAGTCTAATGTCTGGTACTGCTGAATCTCCTTTCTTTACGTCTTTTTAACCAAATTCTTGACCTTTTATTCTTCCAACTAAACTTTGTTATTATTTTTTCTAACTCAGTAAAATAACTTTTTTAGTAATTTAATTGAGATGGCATTGAATGAATAGATTAGGTGAAATGGTGATTTATATTTTTAAAAAATTCTTGAGGGGGCAGCTAGGTGGTGCAGTGGATAGAGCACCGGCCCTGGAGTCAGGAGGACCTGAGTTCAAATCCAGCCTCAGACACTTGACACCTAGTAGCTGTGACCCTGGGCAAGTCACTTAACCCCACTGCCTAGCCAAAAAAAGAAAAATGTAAACAACGTGAAAAAACAGTCTGCTTTGGTCTGCATTTAGATCCCATTCTTTCTTTCTCTGAGTATGGATAACATTTTCCACCATGAATCCTTTGGAATTGTCTTGCATCGCTATCTTGTTTTTGTCTGTTTGTTTTGGCTAGGCAATGGGGTTAAGTGACTTGCCCAGAGTGACATGGTGAATATCAAATGTCTGAGGCTGGATTTGAACTCGAGTCCTCTTGACTCCAAGGCCAGTGTTCTATTCACTGTGCCACCTAGCTGCCCCTGCATCATTGCATTGTTGAGAGGATCTGAGCATTCACTGTTGATCAACATACAAGGTTGCTGTTACCATGTAAGACATTCTGGTTCTGCTCACTTCGCTCTGCATCCGTTTGTGTAAATCTTAATAAGGCTTTTCTGAAATCTACCTCCTCCTCATTTCTTATGGCACAATAGCATTCCATCACAATCATACACAACTTGTCCAGTCATTCCCCAACTGATAAGCATTCCCTCAGTTTCCAATTCTTTGCTACTGCAAAAAGAGCTGCTATAAATGTCATCTTTTTGCCTTTTATATTTTTTTCAACATGTATCTAGGAGCAAGTGTGGTCATGTCCAATGTACCAAGTAAAAACTGCTCTTCACTGTTCCAAAGGACCCATGATGAAAAATGCTGCCTACCTCCAGAGAGAGAACTGATGTGCTCTGAGTACAGACTGAAGTTAGAGTTTCTCACTTTCCAAAAAAAAAAAATGGGAAAAAAGGTTTATCTTAAGTCTCTTCTTGCTTACATAAAATACCTTCCTTAATTAAATCATTTAGTATGTTTTCCGCCTGCAGAGTGATCATTGGCATTTTGTGGGCAGTGGCCAATAACTGAAAAACAGATGCTGCCCTTCCCGATTTGTTCCACCACGTAAGCAACATCTGGAATTTTTGTTCTGTTGGGTCATGTGGATATTTTTCCACAGCTGTGGCAATCTCATTTTCTTCTAGTCCCAGGTTCCGCACAAATTCATTCCAGCGTAGATGAAGATGACGCTGGAAAATGTAAAAGCTTCTGCTTTTTCCTGAAAAGAAAGAAACAGAAAGGAGAAACACCAGTTTTTATTCCTCATCAGAATTCTATTTAGAAATATTTGAGCATGCTTCCTAGCTGTGTGACCCTGAGCAAGTCACTTAAACCTCCCCCCCCATTGCCGCAAAAAAAAAAGCGCAAAAAAAAAAAAGACTTAAAAGTATTCAAGCACAACTCACCAGTCTCTTGGGGTAAGGGTGAGGGGTCATGGGGACATCTTAAACATTTGGCAATTTAGAAAAGAAAAACTAAAGTGATTTTTTAAAATCTCTTGCTTTCTGGAGATTCTCTCTCTCACACACACACACACACACATACACACACACACACACACACACACACACATACACACACACACACACACACGCACACAGAGACTGACACAAGCCAAATTTTTGTCTCCACTGATTTCCAGGAAGCATCCTGGTCCAACTGAAGGGAGGAAACTTGGATTTGCTCCTGACTTGACTATTAACTAACTAGACTTGTGACTTGAGAAAGTCATCGTGTGCCTCAGCTTCTTCCACAATAAAATAAGGATAAAATAGAGATAAACTCATGTGCCTACCATCTGTCAGGAGAAGGGCTGTTAGGCTCTAAGGAGAGCTTGGGAAAGCTGTTGGAAGAGGCCAAACCAGAGTCACTGAAGATCACTGCAAGGACATTTATCAGTCAAGTTCAGGCCTCACCAGGACAACAAATGAAGCTACTATCTACATCAGCTGATTAACTTAGTGATGAGGATGGGATCTAGACCCCAAAAAAGAAAAACCCTGGGCTTCCCACAAGGCCAAATCTCTGGCATTCCCTGAGGCTATAATCCCATCAACTGGCCTTTGTTTGTGGCTATACCCAATCTCCCAATTCTCTGTTACCCTTAACCTAGCCTAGCCATCCATTGTCTTACCACCCCATGGCCCCCAGCCACTTCCCACCCTCAATCCCAGTTAGGCTCCATTCTCCCTTGGCCATGTGGTTCAGGCCCCTGGAGGTTCTATTACCTCACTGTGCCCACAAACCACTTGGCCACTCCTAGATCCCTCCCACAGTCTTTCTGTATATAAGGTCCACCTCCTCTCCATTAAGGCGCTCAGATTTTTACAATCTAGCCAATAGCTCACAGATGCTCAGATTCCTTAAGAGTCTGGCTAATATGGTGGATCTTTAATAAACCTCATCTTTGGCTGAAAGAAGGCTTGAGTCAAATTCTTTCGGGCAGAACCCATATGTCATGATCTTGGGGTCCCAGCACCCCTAAACCTCTAGACCTCATCATTAATGCCATGCCAAAGACCAGGGGAGTACTTAAAGAAAAATGTTAACGAAATTCATCTGGAGGAGCAAAAGGTCTAGAAGTACAAGGGAGATAATTTCTTAAGTGTAGGAATGAGTAGCAAGCACCTGGAGCCCTTGAATTATACTACAAATTGGTCACCACCGTACTGGCTAAAAATGATAAATTATAAAAGTTGCTCAGCAGAGTAGACTAGGTGAAGAAGAATCAGAACAAATTAAATTCAATAACTCAGTATTTGGTAAGCTAGGGAAGCCATCCCTATTTGACAAGAACTGCTAGAAAACCATCTGGGAGAAATGAGGTTTAGCCAAAAGACTTCGAGCATTCCCAACAGTGTGCTCAGAGTAGATACATGACCTTGATTATGAAAGGTCATGTCATTAAAAAAAGCGACGAGAATGAGCTCAGGAGCCTTCCACAATTATGGTGGAGGGGTGAGAGAAATTATTTTGCTATTATATTAATAACAAATGATTTTATATGATATTAATAACAAATGAGTAAAAGCCAATTCAGGTTTTTTTCTCCTTTATTTCCTCATTGAGAGCCCTGCCCTTGTAGGTTAGTCAGTTTCTGAAGCCTGTGGCTGATTGATGAGATGTCCCTAACCCTTGGGGAATGCGCTTTTCAGTCTTGCATGGGACTTCACCCAACTAGGAGACCTTACCTATTAGAATTTAGGGTGGCCTAGCTCATGAAGGAGACAACCAGCTGGAATGGAGATAGAGTCCTCTGTCCAGATTGCTGGAGGCAGCTGAGTCTCAGGGTCAAGCCTCAGTTCTCAGCAGGAGCTGAAGACTCCTAGCCCACCTCCTCATTAAATGTCCCTCAGTCAGGGTTGATTTCTCCTGTCAAGGGTATTCCCTTTCAAAAAAAAATGTTCAAGGCATTCAGTGTCTCCATCAGGGGCCTTTGGTTACTGAGAGAAACTACTGACCATCAATTTATGGATTATTAGCTTGACTAATTAACAAATTGATTTCAATTGCCCACAAATTCTGTCTCTGTTCGTTTGTTTGTTTTTTTATTTGTAACAGGGGAGAGATCTTATTCAATCAAAGGATGAAGGTGATCACAAATGATAAAACTGCTATTTAAACTGCAGGAAATTATTTTGAAGCATGATCATGAAAACTCATATCTAACCCCTAGGAAGTAGAGACTGCTATGGCTATGGATCTGGGGAAGAAAACCCTAAGAAATAATAACAAAAAATCCCCTTTGCACACACTAAAATTCACCTTCCTTACAAGAATATTGCAGTTTTGATTATTAATAATGTTTGTTCACTCTGAAAATTGCAGAGAAAGAGACGATAATGAATGGAAACCAATTACCCACAAGCTACAAGAAGTCATGTATGGTATCCAGGGCCAGGTGCGGCTTAGAACACGGACACCTGAGGCAAAAACAGCTGCCTCTGGGTGAAGGATGAGGGAGACACCTGCGCCAATGCTTTCCAGCGTTGGAGAGTGTTCGACCTCTGATGGGATTGCTTTTAGTCTGGAAAGACTCTATCCCATTTGGAGGAACAAATAAGTACAAATGAGGGCTGTCGGCTCTAAGTTCTATTTAGACAACCAGCCTTCCCTCTTGACAGTATCTGCTAATGACAAAAGCAATTTGAAATTTTGCTTTAAAAAAGCAATCAAAAAGTCCACACCCTTTGACTTAGAGATGTCACTGCTAAGCACAGACCCTAAGGAGGTAAAGTTCAGAAAGAAGGAAGGAAATAAGCATTTACTAAGCACCTACTATGTGCTGAGTGCCTTACAAATGTCTCATTTGATCCTCACAACAACCCTGCCAGATACCTCATTTTTCAGTTGAGGAAACTGAGGCAGATAGAGTTTAAGTGGTTTGCCCAGGGTCACACAGCTAGTAAGTTTCTGAGGCTGGATTTGAACTCAGGTCTTCCCAACTCCAGGTCCAGCTACCCACTGTAACACTCAGCTGCCTTGAAATAAAGTTCCCATTAGCACAAAAATGTTTATATAAGCACTTTTTGTGGCAGTCAAGAATTGGGGGAGGAGAAGGAAGAAGGCATTGCGGCCAGCTCCAGGAAGCCCCCTCCCCTTCTTGCAGCTGCCCCTCCTTCCTCACCACATTTGGTTTTCACATTCATGTAGAAAACAAAGGACAAGCCTCCATTTAGAATGTTCTTCAACAGAGCCATCCAGTAGGTGCTCACCTGCCTCAGTAACATCCTTCAGAGCATAGAACTTGTCGGATTGCTGTGGGGGACGAGAGGAACCTTGGGTTATTCAGAGGGAACTGCTCCTCAGGGCCCACTGACTCAGAATTTCGGGGATCCAGTGTGTGTTCTGCTGTTCCAAACTTGAAGGGAGGCTTTCCCCAGCTTTCCAACTGCCATCCCCAGTAAAAAGCCCAGCCTAGTCATTACAAGGACAAATGGAGCTGACCAGAGCCCCACAAGGTGCTTGAGGCTGTAGAATCAGCTAGACCTCATGAGCAGCAGGGCTTCAACTCCCCTCCAAAAGCCAAATCAGAAGGGTGATAAGAAAAGAGATGGCCAAGAGCGTCCACCACATGTACATAGACCCATCAGCAGCCACTCCCTGGACACGGTCATTTGGCCAGTTGTGAAGGCAGCTCTACTCCACAAAGGCCGCACAAGAGACACTGTCAGATGCTTTCCTGAGCACCAGCAATGTTCTCTGACAGTGTGACCCTTCCCTGGGGGTCCCAGGCCAGCCCCATCGTCCAACGGGGAGATGAGGCAGACTGGCATATCTGGCCCTGCTCTGCCTCTCCTTGACGCTGCGGGCTTTCTCTATGCTCGCAGTCTCTCTGTCCAAGGGCTCCTGCCGTGACAAGAAGGTCAGCTTACCCACTGGCTACGCACCCACTTTGACAGCTTGGGCAGGTGTGATTGCATGGGCTCACTGTGTCTGGATTCCCACTCACGGCTCACGTTTCTCCAGGGGACAGGGGTGTTGTGGCAGGGGTGGGGGGTGGGGTTCAGCACCAGGGCAAAGGTGGAGCGAGGGGACATCACTCACCGTTTCGAGGCTTGGGTTCCTTGTCTCTGGGGCTGTGGAGGCTCTGCCATTGGATTCTTCAATGAGGACACTCGACGAGCTCTCATCCAGGGCCTAAGGGAAGAGCAGGGCTGTAATTACTGGAGTGGCTGCTCTTGGGAAAGCTGGACAAGTCCTTTCAAAGCCACTTTCAGAGAAAAGACACCATGGTGGATGGGCAGCATGGGCAGGGGAGGGAAGCCTGGTCCAGTGATTCTGATACAAACCAGAATGGAGGGAATGCCCTGGAGAGGGCCAACAGCCTACTCTGAGGGTCTGGGGCAGGAGGGATCGTTCCTGGGAAGGCAGATGGAGAAAGAAATAGGGCACGTCTGAGCTGACCATGGTGGGCAAGAAGGGCATGCCAGGCCCAGGCACTGGGGTGAGCAGAGGCATGGAGGCTAGGGAGGGGAAGCCCCTGGCCTGCCTGGTCTGGGGCCTAGGAGAGGCTGAGCAGGGGGAGATGGGCCTGTGGGGAGCCTGGAATGCCAGGACAGCAAGTGCAGACTTCTTTAGTCTGCACTGAGGAGTCCCAGGTTTGTGTACAGTGCAGTGACCCCATCATGAATGGGCTTCAGCACAGATGAGCTAGGCCTTTGCTTTAAAAAGAAACACAGTCAGTCTCATGACCTCATGATCACCTCTCCTAAAAATGAACCTGTCCCAGTGACTATCAGGGTCCCAGGCTGACTCCATGAGGCCATCCCAAAGCCAGGTGCCATTTGGGACAGGCCCCTACTCTTTCCCCTTTTGGCAACCCGAGCTAAGGGCCCCAGAACCATTGTGGTTAAAGCAAAGAGTAAAAAGTTAGCAGAGGACAAATGTCACTCTGGTCTGACAGCTAGGCCCAACCCAAATCAGATCTGGCACCTTGCTGCCACCCACAAGAAAAGTCCTCTCCAGGGGCAGCTAGGTGGTACAGTGGATAGAGCACTGGCTCTGAAGTCAGGAGGCCCTGAGTTCAAATCCGGCCTCGGACAAAACACTTGACACTTACTAGCTGTGTGAGCCTGGGCAAGTTACTTAACCCCAATTGCCTTTAAAAAAAAAGTCCTTTCCAGTCCCTTTGGAACTTGTCCTCCCCCTAGGAGAGGGGGCAGGGAGGGGCAGGAGCCACTTAGCCCAATCAGCCTGGTGTTGGCCCAAACTCTGTGTGTGTGTGTGTCTGTCTGTCCGTCCGGGGGTCGGGGGGAGGCAGCAACCTTGGACCAGACATAGAGAAGGTGCCCAAGTCATCAGGGTCCTCCTCTCAGCAGGGGCTAAGATGACTTTGCTCCAATTAGTTTCCCCTTGATTAGAGACCCTGACTTACCCTTCTGTCATCCACGCCAAGGGAGCTATAAAGAAAGGAGAGAAAAGGACCGTGAGCTCCCACCAGCAGGAGAGTTAGTGCTGCTACGACCCTGGGGTCCGAAGCAAAGAGCCTGTGGGACAGCTGGGAGGACATTGTCCTTGGACAGGCTGGGCCACCTAAAGGGCACACCAGGGCCAGAAATCCCCTCCCCTTGGCCTGAGCACTCAGGTAGCTTAGCGTGCAGGCTGCCCTGGGATGAACCACCAGTGGGGTCCCTTCCCACTCTTCTGACAAACCAGAATTTCTTTATGTCTCTAGACGGGGGTCATTGTGTTCCTCGGGAGCCTCTCAGCCGTTACCCTAAGACCAGGCACTGTGTTGGACTCTCAGCCCATGGAGCCTCCTTGGACAGATGCCCTTCCCGCCCCACCAGGACCCTCCAGAGACAAATAGGAGCTCAGAGGAGAGCTATCCACTTCACCTTCCAAACCTTTCTCAGCTCCAGCTCTCTCTTCTCCCTCCCCTCCACTTCTTAAGGAGCAGGAGTGAGCCCTAACTCATCCCCAGCAAGGGGAGGGAGCAGATGAACTTGTACGAACCATGCTTCTGCTTGTTCCCACCCACAGCCCCAAAGCCAAGCAAAGAGGGGACGTCTCACACACCGACCCCTCTCAGCCAAAGGCCCAGCATTTACCGTTGCTGATTCCTACAGTGTTTGTAAATCCAGAAAACCACACAGATGACAAGGAAAACCAAAAGCACCAGCACCCCAATCCAGTCGGGGGTGCCTCCTGCCAAGGGAAAAGCAAAGAGTGAGCCCATGAAGGAGAGGCTAAAGGCCACCATCCTCAGACCCTCGGTTATTTCCCTCCTACCTTGGACAGTGGGCAAGTCTTCTCTGGAGGTGAAGCCTGGCAGGAAGAGAATGAGCATGTCACTGGGGCTTAGTGGAAAGAGCCTTGAACTATGGTCCAGAGACCTGGGTTCAAAGCATGGTTCTCTTCTTAATGGGCTGTGGTGGTGCTGGTGAGCTGGAAGAGATGACTGCCAAGGCTCCTCCCAGCTCCAGCCACCACTAGGTCCTTTCTTAATGGCACCCAGACACACAGGCCTAGAGAGGAGAAGGCCTGGCCCCACCCACTGGGACGGGAGTGGAAACTTTAGAGGTGAGTTCTGACAGTTCCCGAGGCCAAGGGGGCCCAGAGCTGCTGCTGGAACCAATTCCTCTGAAGTGGGGGCTAAGAGCTTCCTTTCTCAGGTTCCCTACAGCACCCAGACTGACAGCCACTATCTACCTTCCTAGGGAGTAAAGTGCCCTGGAAATAGGGCCTCCATTTGGAGGCAGACAGACATCAGGAACCTTGGGCAAGTCAGGGCATCTGTTTCCTCAGCTGTCATGAAAACTGGCTTGGAGGGCCCGTGAAGCCTCCCCCAGCTCTAGGGCTTTCTGGGGACAGGAGGTGGGGACTGATGGGCTTCCATTTCCTTCAGGTGTGGGATTGGCTGATTGCCTCTGTGGGCCCTCTCGAGCTGAGATTTGGGGGGGGCAGGCAGCATAGGCTGTGGCTCTGGGCTTGCATAGCTCCAGGGGGGTAGTGATTGCAGGGCTCCCGAGGGACGTGATCTGCTTCCTCATCACCTCCTCACCTTACCTGAGCCAGGTGCCCCACACAGTGTGTCAGCTGTAGCGTTACATCCTCGAAGAATCTGTGTTCCTTCCGGGCACCTGAGACCAGAGAACAGGGAAGGCCGCTGCAACCCCTGGCTCCCCCGGGGCCCCTGGTTCTTCACTGAGGCCCTCCCCAGCTCCAGCGTCCAGGGAGCCTGAGGCCAACTGCCTTCCTTGAGCCCAGGGACTCCCTCCTGGCGGCTGGAGAACCTTCACTTATTGCGATCCTCTGTGTTCAGGGTGAGCCAGGGTGATCAGTGTGGTGGGGCCATTCAAGAGTCCCCAGATCCGAGCAACTGTGCAGACCCCAGTCTCAGCCCACTCACTTCAAGCTCCACTACAAAGTCTTCTGCCTGGACCCTGGCTAGCTCTCCTCCCTTTCCTGTCCCTCTCACAGATGACTTATCTGTCCTCTCTGCCCTGCCATTTCATGTCCCTCATGTTGGAGGTGCTGTCCTTAGCACAGGGTCTGAACACAATATATTCTCCCTCCTCTGTAGCATGTGTCTCCATAATGAGCTCCCCCTAAAGCCAGGGGCCACATAACAGTCCCTCTTCTGCAGCTAAGGGCACTTCTATTGGGCCAGAAGTTAGTAATACAATCCCATTGGCTCTGAGCCCCCAGGTAGGAGATTCTCCCCATTCAAGCAGAGATTGGGCTTTCAGCTTTAATCTACATTTCTCTCTCCCCGCAGTTAGCCCCTGGCCTCTTGTTGGTGGAAGCAAAATTCAGATGACAGAAGTACTTGAGCAGAGGCAGCCCGGCACATCACAGGATCTATGGATAGACCGACAGCTGGAGGGGCACAAGTGGGGCCCTCAGCCCAAGCCTCCTGCTCCAAAATGCAGAGGAGTCCATGGCCCTCCCATTCCCCCTTCTCTGCCACAGCTCACTCCTATGTCCTCTCTTTCTTTTCCGATGAGATTGTATTTTTTTATTGAGAAAATGTCAATAAGCCATTATCAGTGCCTACCACATAGTAGGTGCTTTTTCCTTCCCTTTTCAAAGACTGCCCTGGGGAGGCCAGGTTTTGGGGTTTTTTTGGGAGGCCAGGTCTTTTGGGGCTCCCTTCGGATGTCCTCACTCTTTCCTTTCTGCTACCATGCTACCATACACTTAGACTTTTTCTCTTGTTTGGAGTGCTTTCCTGGGCTCATTCTAGCTTCTCAACTAGTGACACAACGCCCCCACCCCCACCCCAATTCTCCAAACCCCACCCAATCAGAGCAGGCCTCCTCTGGCCCTTGGTTCTGATTGGTCGCTTCCATCAAGAAACCACTCCCCAACAAAGGTAACTACATTCAAGTGGAATTAGACCGCCAGCAATCAATGCCCCCCAATGCTTCAGGACTCACTCGAGCTCTCCCTTCTCCACAAAGCCTTCCCTTCCACACCCCTGCCCGCAGGCAGCCCCCCAGCCCACCCCAGCCATGAGCACGACCCCTCCCGAGACTCACAGAGAACACCTACCTCTCTGTGCAGCGCTGGCACATCTCACAGTCTGGGGCTTCACAGTAATACCCCTCTTTACACTGGCAGTTGGTGTCGATACCCCCAATACAGGGACCCACCATCACTTGGTCTGCCAAAAAGGGAGAGGTTTGGATTAAGGTAACCCCAGGGGCTGCCATCCCCAGGGGAGCATCCCCAGAACTATCAAATGGCCAGAAGCGTGCCACTAGCTTGCGTGGCCGGCCAGCTGGCCAGATGACCTCAGCGCTCCAACACGGCCGCTGGGAGGGAGGCTTCCCTCCCACACATCAGGACGCCAGACGCTCCCTCACCTAGGAGCTGCTCCTCCAGTCTGCCTGGGCAAAAATGCCGGCACCCCGGGACACCCTAGCAGGGCGCTGTTCACACCTAGCACAGCTCTGCCGGCCCCGAAGCACATCCGCTGTCTGCTGCGTACAGCGGGCCTGTCGGCACACGTGGCCACCGCTCAGCTGAGTGGTCCACTGGAGAAAGCGCTAGGGCTTTCTGGAGTCAGCAAGACAACTCGGGTTCAAATCCAGCCACAGGCACTCACTAGCTCTGTGACCCTGGACAAAGCTCTGCTTGCCTCAGTTTCCTGAGAATCAAAGGGGGGATCTGTGACCTTTAAGGACCACATAAATGCTCATTCTTGCTACCGCCGTTGTTATTATTATCGTTGCCCAACAGTGGCAGGCCCTACAAAAGGCCATGCCCCACTGGACCCCGGGTCACCCGCACACCAGGGCAGAGCAGGGGAGGGGAGAGGCCATACGCAGCTGTTGTTATGCCCCCCATCCAGTCAGCGTTTATTAAGCACCTACTAAATACCAGGCCCTATGCCACGTACTAGGGATACCAAAAGAGGCCAAAGGCAGTCCCTGCCCTCAGGGAGCTTGCAATCTAACGGGCGACTTTGTTGCTTGGTTGTTTCAGTCACGTCTGTCTCTTCGGGATTCCTTTTTCAGGTTTTCTTGGTAAAGATATTGGAGTGGTTTGCTACTTCCTTCTCTGGCTCACTTCACAGATAAGGAAACTGAGGCAAACAGAGTTCAGTGACTTGCCCAAGGTCATACATCTAGTACATGTCTGAAGCTGCATTTGACTCACATCCTCCTGACTGCCAGCCCTATCACTCTCTCTCCACTGCGCCAATTAGCTGCCCACAATAAAGGAGACAATGTGTTAACAAATACATATATATATATATACATATATATATGTATATATATGTATATATGTATATATATATGTATATATATGTATATATATATATATATATATATGTATATCAAGTAAGCTCTATATAGGATAAATAAGAAAGCGTTAAGAGAGGAAGGCCCTCGAATGAGGAGGGGTTGAGGAAGGCTTCCTGCAGGAGGTGGGATTTTAGCTGGAACTTGAAGGAAGCCAGGGAGGTCAGCAGTCTGAGGGGAGGAGAGAATCCCAGGCATGGGAGAGCACTCGATGGTTGGGTCTCCATTCCTCCCCCAAAAGGAAGAAAGACACAGTAAGCGTGACCGGGTGTGAGGCAGTGAGGAATGGGGAAGATGATGTCCCGATTCCCACCACGGGTGGCAGCCTTAGCAGCAGGGCATTGATGGGAGTCTGAGGAACAGAGCCAGGTGGACGCCCCTGGCAAGAGGTTGAGGGGAATTGGGGTCCCTCGGCCACGTTCTCTGAGCCTCAGAACTAACCGTTCCCACCCAAACTTCTGTGACTCTCTTCTCCTGTTTGGCCTACTCCAGAATTAGTCCAGCTCTCACTTCTGACAGGGGAAAGGCTGAGGGGCAGGACATATCCCAGAAGAGCAGCCTCTGTCCTGTCCCTGGTGCCCCCACTGCCCACATTTCCTGGCACCCAGGCTGCTCCCCCAGGGATCAGGGGAAGGTTACAAAGGGACCCTTGTTGGACTCTTGCTGACCTTTAGCAGCTTAAAGGACAAATCAAAACTCTCCAAACCCTGCTCTCGTTCACCACACACCCCCCTCCCCCCCGGCCCTTTCGGGCTGTTCTCTGGAGGGAGCAAGTGGACCAGGCCTGGGTGATGCTCTATGCACGTCCCGCACACCCAGGTCCTCCTGTCCGCGGAGCCAACTCTTCCTCCCTCTCAACCTTTGCACTGGAGAGCTAAGGCTTAAAGCGGAAGGATGGAGACAATAGTCTGCCAACAACCCCCAGCTCTGACTCGGAGGAGATCACTCCTCCTGCCTCGGTGCCCAGGTGCCCCTGGGTCGGCCTCTCTCTCCTCACAGAAGCTGGTGGCTCTCCAGCTCAGCCGCATACTGACCTGCTCTGCACCGGGTACACTGCCTGCAGGTGTCCAGTCCATTGCTAAGGGAATATTCACCGTGGGGGCATCTCCGACAGATTCCGAGGGTGTGGGGGATGGTACAGTGCTTGAAGACCCGGGTGCCTGTGTGAGGAGGCAACAAAGGTTGAAAAAGACTCAGTAGTTACCGAGAGTCAAAGAGATGGGGCTGTGGAGCCAAGATGGTGGAGAAAAGGCAGCAACTTGCCCCAGCTCTTCCCAAAACCTCTCCAAACAACTTTAAAGGATGCCTCACACCAAATTCTAGATTGGCAGAATTTACAAAAGGATGGATTGAAACAATATTGTAGCCCAAGACAATTTAGAAAGTCGGCAGGAAAGGTCTGTCCTATCTGGGTGAGAGAGGCATGCAGTCCAGCAGTCATGCCAGTGCAGACCTGACCCAGCAAACTAGCAGTCGGCATTGGGGACAGCTGAATCAGCGGCGGCAATGGTGGTTTCCAAACCTCTTAGTCTACAGCTGGGAAGAGGGTCAGACGAATGGGCTGAAAGGCATTACGGGGTAGCTAGGTGGCACAGTGGATAGAGCACCAGCCCTAGAGTCAGGAGGACTTGAGTTCAAATCTGCTGTCAGACCAGACACTTGACATTTACTAGCTGTGTGACCCTGGGCCAGTCATTTAACCCCATTGCCTAGACCAAAAAAAAAAAGTGCTACAAGGGTCCCTTTGCTGGCACCTGGGGCAGGGTTCTGTTGCATTGCCCATACTTGGCTTTGGGTCCCAGTCCTGGGTCTCAGTCCTAGGGCGAGGAGAAGCACTAGCACACCAGAGCTTGTGGCTTCAGAGAAGCTGGTCCCAGCTCCAGGGAGGAAAAGAGTGCTTGTGGTTGCTCACAGAGAAGAGCAGAGGCCAGGAGAGTGGTAAACACACCTCTTCTTAGGTCATACCACCTTGGAAGAACTGAAAACTTACAGGTCCCCAGATTTGCCTCCGAAAACAGCTGCACAAAAAACCTGAAGCCTGGGATGGTGCCTCCTCCACTTGGGAAGCAGAACCCCACTTTAGCATAGGGTTAAAACTCAAAAAAGTGTAAATAAAAAAAATTAAAGTCAAGAAATGGGATGGAAAAATGAGTAAACGGCAAAAAAAAAATCTTGAATATAGAAAGTTCCTCTGGTGACAGGAAGATCAAAATGTAAACTCAGAAGAAGACAATAAAGTCAAAACTGCTACATCCAAAGCCTCCAAGAAAAGTAAGAATTGGCCTCAGGCCATGGAAGAGCTCAAAAAGATTTTGAAAGTCATGTAAGAGAAGTAGAGGAAAAATTGGGAAGAGAAATGAGAATGATGCAAGAAAATCATGAAAAAGAAGTCAACAGCTTGGTAAAGGAGGCACAAAAAAATACTGAAGAAAATGATATCTTAAAAAACAGACTAGGCCAAATGGTAAAAGGGGCACAAAAATCCAATGAAGAGAAGATGCCTTGAAAAGCAGAGCTGGCTAAATGTGAAAGGAGGTACAAAAAGCTCATTGAAGAGAATAATTCCTTAAAAATCAGAATTCAGCAAGTGGAAGCTCATGACTGCATGAGCTATGAAGAATCACTTAAACACAATGAAAAGAATGGAAAAAAAAATAGAGAAAATGTGAAATATCTCATTGGAAAAACAACTGACCGGGAAAATAGATTGAGAAGAGATAATTTAAGAATTATAAAGCCATAATCAAAAAAAGAGCCTAGACATAATTTTCTGGAAGGCATCAGTGAAAACTGCCCTGATATTCTAGAACTAGAGGGTAAAAAAGAACTTGAAAGAATTCGCCAATCTCCTCCTAAAAGAGACCCCAAAATGAAAACCCCCAGGAATATTATAGCCAAATTCTAGAGTTCCCAGGTCAAGGAGAAAATACTGTAAGCAGCCAGAAAGAAATAATTCAAATACTGTGGAGCCACAGTCAGGACAACATAAGATTCAGCATTAAAGAATCAGAGGAGGGGCTGCTAGCTGGTACAGTGGATAGAGCACTGGCTCTGAAGGCAGGAAGACCTGAGTTCAAATCTGGCCTCAGATCAAATACTTGACCCAAGCTGTGTGACCCTAGGCAAGTCACTTAACCCCAATTGACTAAAAAAAAAAAAGAGAGAGAGAGAATCAGAGGGCTTAGAATACAATATTCTGAAAGGCAAAGGAGCTACAAAGGATTACAACCAAGAATCACCTACCCTAGAAAATGGTCATTCAATGAAATAGAGGACTTTGAAACATCCCTGATGAAAGACCAGAGCTGAACAGAAAATTGGACTTTCAAATACAAGACTCAAGAGAATCATAAAAAAGGTAAACAGGAAAGAGAAGTCATAAAGGATTCAATAAGGTTAAACTGTTTCCATCCCTACGTGGGAAAATGGCACTTGTAGATCCTAAAAACTTTCCCATTATTATGGCAGTTAGAGGGAGTATACAGAGAGATGGCGCATGGCTGTGAGTTGAACAAGATGGGATGCTATCTAAAAAAATAAAAGGGAGAGGCAGAACAGCACGATTATCTCACATAAAAGAGGTGCAAAAAGAACTTTTATGGTGGAAGGGAAGATGCCTTGTTTTCTCACATCTCCTCCAACATTTGTCACCTTCCTTTTTTGTCACATTAGCCAATCTGATAGGTGTGAGGTGATATTCCAGAGTTGTTTTAAGTTGCACTTCTCTAATTTAAAGCATTTTTTTCATATGACTATAGATAGCTTGGATTATTTTGTCAGAAAACTGCCTGTTCATATCCTTTGACTATTTATCAATTGAGGAATGGATCTTATTTCTATAAATTTGATTTGGTTCTCTCTATATTTGAGAAATGAGGCCTTTATCAGAGAAATCTGCTGTAAAAATTTTCCACTGTTATGATTACTAATGCACTGTTGGTGAAGTTGTGCATTGATCCAACCATTCTGGAGAGCAATTTGGAACTATGCCCAAAGGGCTATAAAACCATGCATATATGTCCTTTGACCTAGCAATTATCACTACTAGGTCTGTATCCAAAAAGAGATAAAAAACAAAAAGGACCCACAGGTACAAAAATATTTATAGCAGCTCTTTTTGTGGTGGCAAAGAATTGGAAATTGAGAGGATGCCCATCAACTGGGGAATGGCTGAACAATGTATGGATGTAATGGAATACTATTGTGCTATAAGAAATCACGAGCAGGATGCTCTCTGAAAATCCTGGAAAGACTTACATGAGCTGGCAGAAAGTGAAATGAGCAGAACCAGGAGAATGTTGTATGCAGTAACAGCCACACTGTGTGATGACTGATTTTGATAGACTTAGCTCTTCTCAGCAATGCAAGGATCCAAGACAATTCCGAAGGACTTATGAAAAAGGCTATCCATCTCCAGAGAAAGAACTGATGTAGCCTGAATGCAGATCGAAGCAGACTTCTTCTCTACTTTTTTACTTTTTCTTGTTTTTCTTTTGTCTACATTTTCTTTCACAACACGACTAACATGGAAATATGTTTTGCAGAACTGCATATGTATAACGTGTATCAAATTATCAATATCAAATTATCAATAGAAAGGGAAGGGATGGAGAGGGGAAGAGAATTTGGAACTCAAAAAATTTTTTAAATTTTTTTTACATGTAATTGAGGAAAAATAAAATACTAAATTTTCCAAAAAGTCGAAGAGAAAATGCCACCTGGTTACAAAGTAGAAGATTCCCTTTTCAGTGTATCCAGTATACAGTCCCATAGGCCCTCACTTCTGAGAAGAAGCGGGGGAGGTGCTTTTTGTCAGCTTTTCCCCAGGGCCAGCCCAGTTCCTTCCAATTACCCAGAAGTCCCTTTACGATCATTATGCTTCCCCACTGTTGTTGTTGTTGGAAGCCCTCCCGACTCTGCTTGCCTCACTTTACCTCAGTTCCTATTCCTCTTCCCAGGCTTCTCTCTCCTCCTCCTACCTGGATCCTGCCCTGCCTTCTGGTAGCAGTCTGTTTAACAAGCCCTAATCAACAAGGCACCACAGAAACATGGACTGCTGTGGGACCTTCACAGTCTCATGTGTCTGGGGAGCTTCTTGCCACCCTGCCTCGGCTGGGGTTCACACCCATCATTGGGAGAGATCTCTGGGTCGCGGGATCTGTAGGGAGAGCTCAGTGACCAAATCCCACCCAGAAATCCAACACACCCACACCACTGTGCCATTCCCAGCAGCACCTCTTCTGTCCCTGTTCTTGTCTTCCCACACGCCCTGCAATATCACAGCCAGACTGAGAAAGACTCAGAAGGCCAAACTGACTGGTTTACAGCTCTTCCGAAGGGCGATAGGTAGCCACAGAAGCTCCTTGAGCAGGTTGGGTTTGGGCGCGATCAGATCTGTGGAAGATGGATTGGAGGGGGGAGGAAATGAAGCCACCTCGAGCCTCCAGGAGGAAATCGATTTCAGTGAGTCAAGCGAGAGGTGGCGAGGTCTGAAGGAGGGCAGAGGAGGGGGCAGCAGATGCAAAGGGGCTGCAGGTGCTGTGGAGAAGGTAGCGACCATTCCTAAAGGCAGGGGCGGGCATTTCCTCCCCAGGTTTAGAGAAGAGTCCACACCAACGCAGAAGAGGGAGGAAGGTGGCATGGAGAGCTCAGCGAGCAGCCCCTTGCGGAGCCTGGCCGGCCCAAAGGCTGGCAATGCCAGGCTCAGAAGTCGGTATTTTCACCTAAAGGCAGCTGGGAGCCACTGAACGTATTAGAGCAAGAGGGGCTGAGAACAGCTGGGGTGCCCTACCCCTAGGCACGCGTTAAGCCTGGACAGGCTTTGAAAACTGCAATGAGTGCTAAAAACGGCCAGAGTGCTTGGAAGCCTCCGGAGGCCATGGGAGAGGAGCTGGCCGGGGCCCCAGGAGCAGCAGGACAGCAGGGTGGGGGCAGGGCAGCTCAGTGGCAAGGGGGGAAGGAGTCCCTCACCTGACGGGCAGTACAAGCAGCAGCGGTCCTCATGCCAGTATTCCTTCTCAGAGGCACAGGTGCTCCCTGGCGCTCTGTCGTAGCCATTAGACAGCAGGCCTGACCTCGGTTTTCTCATAACCTGGGAAGAGACAAGATCTGTTCAAGATAAAGCAAGTCTGAAGGCTGCTCTGCTCCCTTGAAGTCCTGCACATCTGCCTAAAACGGGCCCTTTGAGTTATTTTTTCAGAGGGTCTCAACTTGCCAAGGATGCCTTCAGTTCCCAGGAGCTTCCCCAAGCCAGAGGCTGGCTCAGGCCACAGGATCCTTTTCTCCTCTGTGACCAAAGCCCAGCCCCCGTCAGGCAGCAGCTCACCCAGAGGCCTCTGCTCTGGCTCAAGCTTTTGCTGAGCATCTCTGGAGGATCTAAGAGAGTGGCCTGGTCGGGCTGGCCAAGCAATGCCAAGTATGGAACCAGAGGCCCAGTCAGGCTGGCATGGAGACCAGTAGGTGCAGCCACAGAGGGGCAGATGCTCCCAGGAACCCATTGTAGCTCACAGCGTGTGACTAGTTGGAGGTCCACAAGAAGGTTAGTAGACAAGTGTGCGGGTGGAGGCTCTTCTTCCCCAATCTTGTTTCATGCTCTTACTGTTTGGGGCACCTCTGATTCCGTTAGAGGGGAAAGTTCCTTTACCTTGGCATGGGAGCAGCTCCCTTGGAACTTAGCGCCTGTGGGCATAGAGGGGTTAAGGGGCCTGCCCCACATCCCAGATGGGAGGTAGAGGTGGACAGACTTGAACCCAGGACTTCCTGATGCTGAGGGCAGCCCCACTTTCCCACAGGGTAGCTGTCCCATCCTGCCTCTCACTTCAGGAGTTCCTGAGGCCAAAAATGGCCTCACCAGATCAACCTGGGAATGGACCCCAATGACAACCTAGGAAATAAATGCTGTGGAATCTGTGTCCTAGATTGCTTTAGGCATGAGAGAGAACTTCCATCTTCCGTATAAGAATAACTCCAAATAGAGGCAGCTAGGCAGCCCAGTGGATAGAGCACCAGCTCTCAGTTAGGAGGACCTGAGTTCAAATCCAGCCTCAGACACTTACTGGCCATATGACCTTGAGCAAGTCACTTAACTGTCTCCCAAAAATGACTCCAATGACAACATCAACTCCTAGGTCCACAGGACTTGAGGTTTATAAACCAGAGTCCTCACAACACTCCTGGAATGTGGGAGGACGTATCTGATTATGCCCATTTTACAGATGTGTAAAGTGAGGCGCAAAGAGATTAATTCACTTGCCCAAAGTCACAGGGCTAGTTAAGTGCTTTGGAACCCAAGGCCAATTCACTTTCTCTATTAGACTACAGTGGGCTCCAGGAAGACTCCCCTGCTGGTGGAAGCTGAGTCCTCAGTGCTTAGGGCAGGTTCTGGAGCACGGAGGACAGTGCTCCAGGGACCTCAACTGTCCTCCACCCCTGCTTTTCCAACCACATATCAATCTAATCTCAGACACGGATGGGGATGTTCTTCTGTGATAGCCTCTTTATCTTCCATGTCCCACGGCCCAAGTGTGGGTGCTCCAAGGCCAAGACTGGGGCATCTCCTGTTCTCTCTCCACGCTCTCCTGAGGATGTTACGCCTCTAAGCAGACAGTCCCCAGAGCTTGACGGCCAGACTAGATCTCTCTCCTTTGCTCCAGCCACCTTCCAGATTGACAGCTCCACCCGGATGTCTCAGGGATATGGCAAACTCAAGATATCTGAGATGGGACTTAGCTTTTTCTGGATCTCACCCATTTCAGAGGACCATTATCCAAGGCTCACCAGCTTCCTCCATCCCTTGGGCTCTCCACAATCCAACCACGAGGCAGGAACCCTCATCTCCCTGAGAAGCCACAGTGCAAAGAAACCCTCTGAATGGGAGAAAGGTCAGAAATCCTTCAACCTACTGGAGCTCAGAACATTTTCATTTATTGGGGACTTTAAGCAACGTTAAAATGAGCCAGTCTCCTTTGGTTTGGCTTTTTAGTGTAGCTTAAATTTCTGCTTCCTGGGCATCTGATGATTTTCACACCTAGATTTCCCACCAGACATGGGCAAATCATGAACTACATCCCCTTATAGTTCATCTTCTATGGTGCCTATGAGGAATGGGCGAGGTAATTTTTGTCCTCTTTCAATCCAGCTCCCTCTCAGATTTCCAGGGATGGGGAGGAAGGGGCTCTCTCCCCACCCCAACCCTGCCCCAGGCAGTGACCACCGCAAGTCCTCAGCACCGGGTCACAACACCACCTCATGTACGCCTGGGTAAGCCCCAGACTGGAGCTCAGGTCTCCACTGCCGATTCTACATTTCCTTCCCCAGTGCCTTCTGTGAAAAGATGGGGCACCCCCCCAAAAAAGGAGCAGGATTTTAAAGCTTAAGGGATGAGAGAATCATACCCTGGTTGGGCAGAAAAGGGGGGCTGCTCAGGCAATACTGATCCAGTGAACACAAAATATATATTAAGACGTTCCACAACATTCCTGGAGGTCCTCACTTCCCTAGGGAGTCAGTGTTAGAGGAAGGGGCTACTGTTTCGTGTTTCAAGTATCTGTTAATGGGTCTCAAGGAGTCTTTTGGTGTTTTAAGCATTTCTTCTACGGTGAAGGAATGAATAGCCTTCCTATACTGGATGGACACTTACTGTTCCAGATGGGGAGTCAGAAGCCCTGATTTCAAATCCAGCCTCAGACACTTACTGTGTGACCCTGGGAAAGTCTGCCTCCGGCTCCTCATCTTAAAAATGGGGATGGTAACAGCCCCTCCCTGCCAGGGCTGTTGGGAGGATCGAATGAGATCGGATTTGTAGAGTGCTTCGCACAGCCCGGCACATAGTAAACACCATATAAATGTTGTTATTAAACTACAACAAGCATTTCTTAAACATGTACTGTGTGCCAAGTCCCTCCACTGTGCTAATAGCTGGCCACTCACAGAGGTGAAGCAAACCAAAAACCCGGCCACTGCTGTCACAGAGTGCACAGTGAAAGGAAGGGCTTCCCCTTGCGGAAGCCCCAGCCCTGAGCCATCCTTAGACTTTGTTTTCAAGATTTTCCACAGGGTGTCCTTCGGGCTAGAGACAGTGAGTGACAATGAAGGAATGATTCCCAATTCCCTCTCTTTGGGGTCAGACACTCCCACTCTCCCCAGGACTGAACCTGCAGGTCTGCATGAATCCTGAGCCCAGTGCCCTTTGGTGGTAAGGACGGCATGTCACCAATGCTTTGGGCCATGGGTAACACGCACGTATCTTGTATTTACTTAGCTGTGAACACGATCTCCCCCCAGTAGAGCTACTGCACTCACTTTCTGAATGTCTCTCCAGTGCCCAGCACAGTATCTGACACGTTGTAGGTGCTTAACTCACATTTGTTGACTGACAACACCACCGGGGATGTCCTCCCTCCATCCTGAGGTTTCGCCTTTGCATAGGCTAACCACTTAGATTCTCCAAGTACGTCATCAGTCCTTTAGAAAAGACTGGGAGAGAATTGTGCACTGGCTTCCATTGTCCAGCTCAGCAACTTCCTCAGCATTCGCTGCCCCAGTGACATGTGGCAGGAGGAGAGGGGATAATAGAGCATGAGGCAGTGGGAAAAGTTCTGAACTTGGGAGTCAAGACGACCACTTATTTACTCACAGTGTGATTCTATCGAGGCTCTCCGTCTGTTCAGGTAGTGACCACCAGGTGTCACTGTTGAACAGCGTTGGCTCTGCACTCTCCTAGTCCCAGCAACAAGCCTTGATTAAGTGCCTGCTATGTGTCAGTCACTGTGCTAAGCCTTAGCTAGGGATATAAAGAAAGGCCTGATAGCCCCTGTCCTCAAGGAGCTCACAGTCTGATGAAAGAGACAACATGAAAATAATCTGTATAAACAAGCTATGTCCTGGAATTAAGAGGGTTCCAGAAAGGCTTCCTATAGAAGGGGGGATTTTAGCTGGGACTAGAAGAAATCCAGGGAAGACAAAGAGGAAGAGATGAAGAGGGACAGCATTTCAGGAGTGGGGGAGAGAGCCCAGAGATAGAAGCAAGAGAATAGGGGGGTGGGGTGCTGACCTGGCAGAGACTAAGGGCTTGGGGAATTGGAGGTTACCAAGATAAAGAGCAAGGTTTGCTGTTTTACTTCCTCCTGGGAATCTGGGTCAAGCTGTTTCCTCTGGGATCAAGCATGGCTCCAACCAAGAACTTGCTTTCTAGCCTAGCAGTAAAGTGCCCTTGTCTCCAAATGGATTTCTTTTTCTGCTATTTTAGGGAGCTTAAAGATGCAGATCACGAAAATCACAAATAGAGCTTCTGAGACCTAGATGAGAAATGAAGTCGAATCACTAGGACAGAGTCTGGTCCCTCGGACCCATTTTTACTTTGGTGTACCCCAGATAGTTACTGGAGGCTTTATTTCCCCATTCTAGGGGCAGAATACAAAACAGGCATTAAATACAGATATTCATGGTCATGGATTCATGAAGTATTTTTATATAAAGCAAAAATCAAGATGAAGACATAGCTGATACTCTAAGAGCCCAGCTCCCTCGGGGAGGGCTGAGGCAAAAGGCTTTCCTACAGCCAGGCAGGCGCAAGACTCAGAGCACCCAGTGGAGCAGTGGCTGGAGTGTGGGTTGGGTACTAAGGATCAATGCTGCCGCTTCTGCCTCCTTCAAAAAGCCCTTTAAGGTCTGCAAACAGCGTTGTGAGCATCATTAGATCTTCACAACAACACTGACAGGAAGGACTAACTCGGTCCTCTTCTCATCCCCATTTTACAGGTGGGGAAACTGAGTCTCAGAGTACTGAAGTGACTTGCCCAGGATGTGTCAGGGACAGAACTTAAACTCAGGCCTCCTGAGGACAATCTGTTTCTCAATCTGCTCCAGCATGCTGCCTCTTCCAATTCAAAGCTATAAGAGCAAAAGCCATTTCCTGTCAGATTAATGGTATAATGCAAACACTAAGAATAAATACTTAGCACTTCAAAGTTCATGCCTTCTCATTTCATCCTCACAGTCATCCTGAGAGGGAGGTGCTATTATTATCCTCATTCTACAGATAAAGAAATTTAGGAAGAGGTTAAGTGACCTGCCCAGAGTCCCTCAGCTAGTAAGCTAAGGCTACGACTGTATTTGAACTCAGATCTTCTGTGCACTGCAGTGCCCCCTAGAACAAATAGTCCTAAGAGCAAAACTTCGAACTGTTGTGTAAGGGAAATATTAGGATCTTGGATTTATAAATGGATGGAACTAATTCCACAAGGCTTAGTTGGAATTCACTCACCAACACATTTATCAGCTCCTCATTGGTCATTTAAACAAAAGAACCAATGTAGAATTTATGGCATACACTGCAATATCTCAGGTGACTAATACTTAACACACACGAGAATTATAGAATTGACTTTGTTCTCTTAAGTCTTTGGTTGTTGGACACTTCTGAGCTGTGATACTTCCCTGACCCTGGAAGTCCATAAAGCTGCCTGATACCTGCTACGTTCAGCAGCAGTAAATATCACTTTGATCTGTTTTCCCTTTCCATCTGATAACACTTCATAATTGAATGAGATTGGGTGAAAGGACAGTTAGAAACTCAGCGTCATCGGATGGAAGAGGACGCACTGAGGAGTAAAGTGTAAAAAATCCAGAAAGCCAGGAGGCAGCCGGGTTAGGAAGGGCTTTGGACGCCAGAGGATGCTGGAGGAGCGCACAGCGATGCTCTATGAATGACCACGTTTGCTCGTTTTCACAGAGTTTGAAGGTCTGCCAAGCACCGTAAGCGGTGACACACCCATCTCACAAGAAGCCAAGGTTGCCATTTTGGAGAACAATTCGGAACTATGCCCAAAGGGCTACAAAAATGTGCATACCCTTTGATCCAGCAATAGCACTTCTAGGGCTATATCCCAAAGAGATCAAACAAATGGGAAAAGGACCCACATGTACAAAAATATTCATAGCAGCTCTTTTTGGGGTGGCAAAGAATTGGACATTGAGAGGATGCCCATCCATTGGGGAATGGCTGAGCAAGTTGTGGTATATGAATGTAATGGAATACTATTGTGCTATGAGAAATGATGAACAGGCTGACTTCAGAAAAACCTGGAAAGACTTATATGGTCTGATGCTGAGTGAAGTGAGCAGAACCCAGAGGACTTTGTATACAATAGCAGCCACGTTATGCAATGACTAAGAATGTTAAACTGAACCCTTCTCGGCATTACAAGGACCTAAGACATCTCCAGGGGCCTCAGGATGGAAAATTCTGTCCACATCCAAAGAAAGAACTATGGAAGTCGAATCACTCTCACTTATTTTTACCTTAAGTTGAATTTTGTTTCATCTTTCTGATGGTTCCTCCTACTGGTTTTAATTTTTACTTACAACTTCACTAATGTGAAAATATGTTTAATGGGTATGTAAATGTATAGCCTATGTCAGATTGTGCGCCGTCTTGGGGGGGGGAGAAAAAGGGAGAAAAAATTTTCAACTCGAAAGCATACGGAAAAAAAATTAAAAAAAAAAAGAAAAACAAATCCTGAAACTAAGCTCATGTAACATTATGTCATGTAGAATAAAAATAGTGTAAAAAAAAAAAGAAGCCAAGGTTGCCAAGGCAGCTCATCGAATCTGACACTCCGCCCAGGGTGAGGGGGGAGCGGTTAGAGGATTTTTAGCGCGGAGAGGGTGCTGCTAGAGCTCCTGAGAAGGCGGTAGAGGGGGAATTTTAGTGAGCGGTGAGCTCGAGAAGGCGTAGAGGTCAGGACTAAAATGGGGTGGGGGGAAATACGCCCCCCTGAACAAAGTCAGCCCAAAGCATCGGTCGGTAGGAAGCTAAAGAGGCTCTCCCCGCCCCACAGCAGACATCCAGACCAGTCTCCCTCCTCTGTTCCTCCCCATTTCCCTCTACTCTCAAGACAGGCCGGTTGGGCCTTGCTGGCAGTCTGAAGAAGGGGGCAGTCGGAGACTCTAGGCCGTAGCGGCAGTGGGGCCCGGCGCAGCACACGTACATACATACACACACACACACACACACACACACACACACACACACACACGCACGCATGCACGCACACTGGAGAAGGAGGAGGAGGAGGGAGCCTCCAGGAGGTCCCGTCAGGCCGGACTGTCCTCCTGAAGGCAGTAGATGGAAGCGGGCTGTGGAGACGGCGCGGCTGATACCATGCATTCGCCCCACCCCGGCTCACACACACTTACTCACGCGCGCGCACGCACACGCACACAGAAGGAGAAGGAGGAGGAGGAGGAGGAGGAGGAAGAGGAGGAGAAGAGGGGGAGCCTCCAGGTGGCTCCGTCGGACCGGACTGTCCCCTCGAAGTGCCCGGGAAAGCTCTGCACCAGCCAGCTCAGAGGGACAGGCAGGGACGGGGCGGACTCACTTGCACCGGGGCAGGGGCCGGGATCCACGTCAGGGCCAAGGCCAAAGTCAAGGCTCGGTATCGGAGCGGATGCTTCCTGGGCCATTGGCCCGCGCTGGCTAAGTCGCTCTCTCCATGAGCAGAGGGCATCAATGAACAGCCGCCGGCGAGCAGCAGCTTATAAAGGGAGGAGGAGCGACCGGGCAGGCAGTGCCATTAGGCTCAGGTGCCTCGCGTCCCGCCGAGCCAGTCCGCCCATTGGCTGCTCCTCCAGCCCCTCGTGACCACGGCGCCCGAGAGGATGTCAGGCTGGGCTGGACACTCAGGACACCTTCCCCTCCCTGTTCCCCTCCTTTCCGGGCCGGGTGGGGCGAAGGAAGAGGGGCTCCGGACCTGGGAGTGAGAACGGGGAAGAGGTTCCCCAGGTCTGAAAGCGCCTCCGGCCAAGTCAGATTATTTCAAGTCCATTAACCATTTAAAGTCGCTCGCACCCCGGAAAGGCTGCAGAAAGGAACCCCGGGTTACATTTAACACACGTTTTTCTCCTCCTCCCCCACTTAATTGTATTTTATTTTTTCCAATTACATGTAAAGATAGTTTTCAACATTCACTTTGATGAGATTTTGAGCTCCAAATTTTTTTCTCCCTCCCTCTCCTCCCCAAAGACTGCGTGCCATCTGCTATAGGCTATACAAGTACAATCGTATTAAATGTATTTCCACATCAGTCATATTGTGAAAGAAGGATCAGAACAAAAGGGGAAAATCACGAGAAAGAGAAAAAAAAAGGAGAATATGGTCTGCTTGGATCTGCATTCAGACATTCAGACTCCATGCTTCTTTCTCTGGAGGTGGGTAGCATTTTCCATTTTGAATCTTTTGGAGTTGTCTTAGATCCTTGCATTGCTGAGAAGGGCTAAATTTATCGAAGTTGGTCGTGGAACAGTAACATACTTTGTAAAAAGCTAATTAGGGAACAGATTTGCTGTTCCTTTTTTGTTCTTTATAAATCCTTTAATTTTTTATTATTTTATATTATATTTTTATACTTATTTATAAATTCTATATATAAATCTTTTTGTCCTTTATAAATTGAAATGTTCATGTTTATTATTGATAAAAAAAAGATATTTTCTTTTTTAGGACTGAGGGTTTTAGTCGACGGTCTGACAGCCAGTCAATGAGCATTTATTAGATACCTTCTATATGCCAGGCACTGGGTTTTTGTTTGTTTGTTTCTTATGAGGCAATTGGGATTAAGTGACTTGCCCAGAGTCACACAGCTAGGAGATATTATGTGTCTGATCCAAATTTGAACTCAGGTCCTCCTGACTCCAGGGCCAGTGCTCTGTCTACTGTGCCACCTAGCTGCCCCCAGGTACTGTATTAAGCACAGATACAGGGCATATACTTGGATAACAGAATCCTGTCTATTTCTCCCTCCAGCGATCTTCGCCCAAATGCTTCTCTCTGGCCCCTTGATTCCTTTTATAGGAGGAAAAGATGGATGGGTCAAAGCCCGACTACTACCACACAGTCTCGGACCCTGGTGATAATAGACCAGGACCCTGAGCCCAAGAGCCCCAGGAAGAGCAGTGTCATCCCGCCCCCCCCATCACCAGCCCTGCTTCCAGCCCAACCCCTTCAGCTATCATCAAGAGAATCAACCCTTGAAGGGAAGGGGCTTGCCTTCACCACCGTCAACAATGACCACTGACCAACTGCCACGAAGGGGCAAAGTAAGGCTGTAGGGAAGAGCAGAGAAAACATCCCTCCTTCCCCCACACTGCTGTGGTGGGAGCCAGGAGGGGCCTTGGCAGTCATCTCTTCCAGCTCACCAGCACCACCATCCCAAGGCCCCAAGGCCCATCAAAAGCAGAACCATGATTTGAACCCAGGTCTCTGGACCACAGTTCAAGGCTCTTTCCACTAAGCCCCAGTGACATGTTCACTCTCCTCCTGCCAGGCTTCACCTCCAGAGGAGACTATCCACTGTCAGAGGTAGGAGGGAAGTAACTGGTGGGCTGGGGATGGGTGGACTCTCCTTCATGGGCTCGCTCTCTGCTTGTCCCTTGGTAGGAGGCCCACCCGACTGGGTTTGCATGCTGGTGGTTTTGGTTTTCATTGGTCTGGTTGGCTGGGTTTGGAGATCCTGAAAGGAAGAGAAATAGTGAATGACCTTTGGCTGAGAGGCTGGGGTCTGCGTGCTGCTGTCCCTTCTTTTCTTGATTTTGGGGTTGTGAATGGGAGCTAGCAGAAAGGTGGTTGTGAGAATCCATCTGCTGAGCCCCAGGGTGTACACCGTGCTTGGTGGCATGAAGTAGGGAAGGAGTGTGGGATTTGTAATCAAAAGAGATAGTGGGTGGAATGAACCCCGAGGTGCTATTTGGGCGGCCAGCAAAGATCAATAATGCTTCAAGGAACTTCAGTTACTTCAGATGTAAAACGAGGCACTACTTCAGATGTAAAATCAGGCACGATGTAGTGGAGCGAGTTAGGGTGCTGAACCCCTCCCCCCCGGGAGAAACTGAGCCCTGAGTGGGAATCCAGACACAGCCAGCCCTCAAAATCACACCTACCCAACCTGTCAAAGCAGGTGCATAGCCACAGGGTGAGCTGACCTTCTTGTCACGGCAGGAGCCCTTGGACAGAGAGTCTTGCTATTTCTGGGAGGTCTGAGGCCATAGTACTTTTCCACAGCGTCAAATCCCCCCTGCCCCACCATGCAATGGCCAGTCTGATGGCTAGTCAGGGCCTCTTTCAGCCACCATCTCCATTCTTTCAGTCATTCCACACCTCCAATCTGTCGGCCAATCTTCATTGCTCCAACTGGTTTCCCTTCTCTCCTCAGAGTCTCTCCTCACCCTAGTTCAGAGCCTCATCACCTCCCACTGTCCTCCCTGCTCTTTCCCCAAAGCCCTGTGGAGGATGCTGCTTTCTATTTATTTATTTTTTGAGGCAATTGGGGTTAAGTGACTTGCCCAGGGCCACACAGTAAGCATCTGAAGATGGATTCAAGCTCAGATTGTCCTGATCCCAGGGCGGGTGCTTAATTCTCTTTGCCACCTACCTGCCCCTTGCTTCTGTCAAGATATTAGGAGACACCCTGATTTCCAGAGCTAAGGCCCAGCCAGCAAGCTGTGCCCTGAGTGTGGCAGAACCACAATCCCTTGTGCTGGCCTTCCGGAAATGATGGTCCCTGAGCTTGGGCAGGCCCAGACATGAAGCCCTGCACAAATGGACTTTGTCACTAGACAGCCTTGCCTCACTGACACTGCTGTGTCTCACTACTGTAGCTATGCTACACTTGGACTCTGCCTAGCCTCAGGTATATAAATTGAGGTTTAGTCACACCACAGCAGGTCCCTCCCATGAGGGGTGAGGCCCCCGGCACATGTGTCCCGGCCTCCAAGCTGTTTCCCTCTCTTTGAACTTACACTTCTGTTTGATTCCTGAGTTTCCTGTCTCTAGACTGCTCTGTTCCACTCCAGCCACCCACGGGTTAGAGGCCAGCTCGGCCAATGGACACTTTCTGCTTTTAAATTGTAATTTAAAGGCAATTCTTCTACTTCCTTTGATGCTATCAGCTAAGTTCAGAGGACTGAGGGAGCTCTCCACTTGCCTCTTGACAGAAATGGCAGGGCCTCAGGATGCAAAATGAAGTATTCATTTTTGGGGACCCACATAAGGCAGAAGTTTGTATTACTTAAATGTTTTCTGAATATGAAATATGAATGTTTAATAAAAATAGATAAAATAATTAACAATTTGAAAGCGTTATTGAATTTTTAAAATTAGCTACTATGGCGCAGAAAAGCAGGAACTATACACGACTCACAAAATTTAAGTGTCTTAAAATAATTTGATTTTTTTTGAAGGGATGAGGCTTACAGATAAATCAAAAAGCTATAAAAATTATTTTTGTACTAAATTTTGTCACAGCAAAATTTCCATCCCCAAATAGTAAATATTAGCTTTTAATAGAATAACATCCTGTGTCTTTGTAGGGAGGTGGTGGGCTAGGGGTTCAGAGTCAGAGATGCAGTCTCAGGTAGGACAGCTGCATTTCTACCTTTGTATCCTGGGAGGTGGGCACAGTGACTGTCCCGTGACAGGCAGGCATCAAAGAGATGTATGTTGACTGTTGTCTGACCATCCTGGCTCCTCGGAGGAGGAAGTGGAAGCTAGGTCACAGAGGCCTTGCAAGTAAGTGTTGCGGTGGGGGGGGTAGAAGAAGGGCAGCTGGTCTACTCTTTTTAGGGATCCCAAGAATAAAGAATACACCGAACAGACACTGGAGGTTCTAGTGATTTTGCCCATCACAGCAGGGTTTGTACACAGCCCTCACTCTGTGCACGTCTGCCTGTCCCTGGCAGAGATGGGGCCGGCCCTGGCCAGGTGCTCAGGCTCGGGGCCCACCAGCTACTTGGAAGACGACGAGTGTTTGCTGCCGGTGGTGCCGGTGGCCGGCCACGTTGGCCCCACAGTCCTGCTCGTCCTGCTCTCCTCTACCTCCAGAGCTCTGGAGAAGGGCCCAGGCCCTGGCCCCGCTCCTTCATCTGCCAGGAGGCAGGCTCTGCACCGGACGCTGGTTTTCTGATACGCCCATCCATGCTGCCTCGTCACACACAAGTCGTGGGCCCATGCCTGGCATCGGTCACACTGCAGCTGGGGGGCACAAACACACGTCGGCTGAGGCTGGCAGCAGTGGGCACGGCCGGCCGGCAGCCACTGAGTCAGCTGAGCTCCCGGGAGGTTCTCTTTAGGACCCCTCCCCCTGGGGGCCAGACCAGTGCCAGCGTCTGCTGTGCCTCCGGTTGTCGGTGGGCCTGGAGATGGCTCCAGAGCTTGTGTCAGTGACAGCATCAACTCACCACAGCAAACACATCCCTGCTGCCCTCGTCAGGAAGCGAACACACGTCCTCGTGTCTTCGGGCTTTCCCCGGGGTGTCCCTCTCACCATCTGGGCAGCTCTTCAGGGCCTCCGGGCCACAGAAGGAGGGGGGCCGGTTTTCATCAGGGGCTGAGGAGGCCTCTTGTAACTCGACCTCCAGGCTACTCAAGTCCTCCTCCTCTTCCTAGAGACGGAGAAGGGAAGAAAGCTGGGGATCGTACAGATTCCTCTGCAAACAGCTTGCACTCAGACCCCAGGCCTGCTGCGCCTCTGCACCTGCATCTGTCCTCCTGACGACGGTGTGGCGAGGCCACGGCAACCCAGCTGGTCACCCTCACTCCACACCTCCTATCCCCACTGCTGTTCAACAGTTTTCCAGTCACATCCGACTCTCCGTGGCCCCATTTGGGGTTTTCTGGGCAGAGATACTGGAGTGGTTTGCCGTTTTCCTTTCCAGTTCATTTTACAGATGAAGAAAGTGAGGCAAACAGGGTGAAGTGACTTACCCAAGGTCATACAGCTAGGAAGTGTCTGGGAAGATGACGAATGTGTTAGTAAGGGATCCAGGGCAGATGCAATGGGGCCCAGAACAGAGCCAGAGTGGCCTAGGATCACTGGTGAAGGGACCCTATCCCCAAGCACCTCCTTCACAAGCTGTGAGCCCCTCCTCCCTCCCTACCTCCCATGCTCATCACTTGCTGACCAGATGAGCTGTCCTCAGCCCACAGAATGTTCCCATCTACAGGGCCTAAAGGGGCCAGCCAAAACTTCCACGAAGGAGGGCAGGTGGGATTGGGGAGGAGGACTCGCCAGTCAAGGCCCTTACGTAGTCCGAGGGTCCGCTCTGGAGGAAGAAAACCTCATGGAGGTGTTGATCCCAGTCGGCTGGATTTGCTGCCAGCACCAGGGAGAGAAGCCTGAAAAGAAAGGGGGTGGTTTGGGATGGATGGATGGATGGACAGACAGACAGATGGCTGGCTGGCTGGAGAGACCGATGGACAGACTGATAGATGGATGGATGGATGGACGGTCGGACGGACGGATGGATGGATAGGTGGATACACAGATGTGATAGACGGATGGATGGATGGATGGACAGACAGACAGTAAAACACGAAGCAGGCAGGATCTTGGCTACAGCCACATCTTCTTCATACAGGATCTCATTAGTCCAAGCCCTCACAGGAAACATGGGAACCCAGGTGATTTCCTTAAGATGTGCATGCTTAGGCAACTGGCCACCCCTCCCAGGACCCACGAGGATCCATGGAGGAGGCGATGGGAGATGATGCCCGGGACCTAAACGCAGGCCACTGTGTCCTCCCATGCCCTCCCCAACCCCCAGCCCCAGCTCACCTCCTCACAAAGGCCTTGGAGTCTTCTAGGAACCCGTCTGTTTGAGGACTGTATTCAACAACCAGGTTACGTTTTATTTTCAAAGCCATTTTCAAAATTTTATTTAGCTGAAAAGATTAGACCAAACAAATAAATTAATCAGAAGTGAGAAGCAGTAGGCATTACGGACCCACTGGATTTGAAACATGAACTTCAGCCACTGAGGGGCATAGGCCACGCTGGCAGGACCTGAGGGTGGGGGCTCCCCCAGTGAGAAGGTCAGAGACCCTAATCTTGGATCCCCTGGGTGATGGGGAACCCATTACCTCACACACAAGGCAGCCCACTGCATTGTTAGGATATCTGCCAGCGTGAGCTATCTATTCCCTGTGTCAGCAGTGTTAACACATCTACCTCTTCTGTTAGTGCCCAGGGAGTTCTGGGACTCCACCAGGGCCAGGAGCCACTCTAGGGCCTTTGTTCCTTTGTTGTTAACTCTAAAAGGAAAGAAGTGCAAGCTCTCAAAAGCCATATTACAACCAAACCACAAATCTGGCCTCAGATGCTAGACACTTACTAGCTGTGTGACCCTGGGCAAGTCACTTAACCCCAACTGCCTCACCAAAAAGCAAAAACAAAAACAAACAAACAAAAACTGGAAAATGGAAATTGTTGGAGGAGCTGTAAAGAACACTAGTACATGGTTGGTGGAGTTGCATGTATGATGCAGCCATTCTGGAAAGCAATTTGGAACTAACTATGCCCTCGGTCAGGTCACTCAGCTGGGCATCCTGCTGATGCAGTGATGCCATCCACACTCAGCCTGCACTTCGAAAGACAGCAAAGAAAAAGGAAGGGGCCCTGCGTGTACAGAGAACTGAAAGTGTCTCTGTTCATGGTGGTCAAGAGGTGGAGCTGGAGGGGAGGCCCACCCATTGGGGAGTGGCTGAGCACAGGATGCCATCAGGGCGGTGTTTACAATTTCAGAGAAACCTGGGAAGACTGGAAGAGGCCAGAATCAAAAAGGCATCAGAAGAACAATAACTCACAGGCATTTCAATAATGAAAATGCAAATGAGGCAGCTGACCTCAGGCTAAATGCAATGCACATACAGCCCTCCGGACAGAGGAAGACAAAGCCTTCCAGGTTCTCAGCAGACAGGTGGGGGCTCCCAGCCACCAGATGCCACAGTAGAAGGCGGTTTTTCTGTCTCCAAGAGGAAGATTAATGGGGCAGATGGAGGGCCGGAGAAGAGGGTGTTCTATATAATGTTCTATAATCATACAATTATTCACGTAGAAACAAGCGGCCTCACACTTAAAACTCAAAAACAAAACCACTGAGGTTCCCTGGATTTTGCTTTGTTGAGTTACTGGACCCGGATTCAAGTCAGAGCTCTACTACTACCTAGAGGGCCTCAGTCTTAGGATTTTAGATGAAAGCGGAAGTGCCTAGAAACAACCTCCCTCGTTTAACAGATGGGGAACGTGAGGCCCTGGGTTGTGCAAAACCCAAGGCAGGATTTGAACCGGGCTCTTCTCTCGCTCCACTGTGTTCTCTGCCTCAGTTTCTTTCTCTGTAAAATGATGGAGTTAGGTGATAGGGAGGAGCTCTGGTCTCTTTCTGACTCTGGAACCTAGGACATCGTCACTGACCTCAGAATCTAACAGGTTCTGACCCAAATTCTGGCTTTTGAGCCTTTGCTCGCATCCTTCCCTTTACCCGGCATGCCACCCCAATTCTCCTTGGCTTATCTGAAGCCTGCCCACCCATTCTGTGAGGCCTGTCCTGACCACCCAAGAGGGGTCTGCCTGACAATGACTGGGTCTCCCTGCGACCCCCCTCCTCAAGCACACACGAGGCTGACTGACCACAGCACTGCCCTGCTCATGGAGCTTTACTGAACCCTTCACCATCAATCTTTCCCTGCAGCGAGGGGGTGCCACAGCATGCACAGAGCGCTGGGTCTGGAGTCCCGAAGATCAGAGTTCTAATCCAGCCCCAGGCACTGGCAGAAGAACCACCAACAAGTCAGTTTGTCTGTTCCCTCATCTGAAAAATGGGGACAAGAGCACCTCTCTCCTAGGATTGTTGCAAGGACCACAAGGAGACACTGTCTGTAAAGTGCCTGGGGCTGTGCCCTGCACCCCGCAGGTGCTACATAATTGTCAGTTTGCACATTTCTCACGTATTCTTCCTTGCTCATGATTTCTCCTGCCTGCATGGCCAGAATCCTCTCCCTCCCTTCCCCATCCCCTCCAAGGGGCTGACCTGATTCCCCTGTTGTTTCTGCTCCCCATCCCGGCAGCTACCTTTGGGGGCTCTGCTGTGTGCATTCACCGCCAGGCATGCCAGCTGCCCCCAGGAGAGTGTCCAAGTACTTGAGGGCGGGGAGGATTGTCCCCACACCCCCAGCACAGTACCCTGTAATAGACATTGCATGGACAGCACTGAGTCCAGGGCCTCATCTCCCCACTTCTCCAGTCCCCTTCTCTGGGCAGGTACTCCTTTTACTTGTCCCTGACGCCCTGACCCAAGCCGGGCCCTGACGTGGGCTGTCATCTCATAGGCCGTCTAGATGACTAGAGAGTGCCCTCCTACCTGGAGGATGTAGCCGTGCTGCTGAGCACTGAAGATCCCTTCGGGTAAGCCAAACTTCCTCACCAGCTCACAGATCTGCCTGCTGGTGTCCTCAGGGGCGCAGGCTCGCATCGGTGCAGCGTGCACTGATTTTGTAAAGTAGTCAGTAGACACAAAGGCAAAGCGGGCTCCCCTGGCGGTCTCCTCCAGGGGCCCAAACAGCTGCAGGCTGACGAAGCTAAAGAGCCCTTTGTCCTATGGAGGGAGAGAATGGGGAGCGGGAGGGAAAGCAGAGATGAGGCTTTGGCATGCAGGTCCCCATGAGGACCAAGTCAATGCTGGGAAGTCACCCTGGGCAGGCACAGGGACGGATGCCCAGTGGAAGCCGCGTGGGGAAGAGAGGTAGGAAGCCTGGGTACTGGGTATGTACAAGTGGGGAACAAACACGGAAGTCTACGCAAACGAGGAGGAAGGGGCCGGGCCAGCGGCCAACTCTGGACCCTCACTCATCTGAACTGGTCAAAAGGAGATGGGGATACACTGCACGCAGCCGGGAAACTGGAAGGAAGGAGAAAAGGAGGGGCAGACAAGGGGAGGGACTGACCCTGCACAAAACCCACTCTTAACTAAAGATGCACCAAAGTATCCCAGCTTGGCTGGATGTGAGGACCCAAAGGACTCATGATGCAACAAGCAAAGCCCTCTGCACCACAACGACAGCCCAGAGGTGCGGCCGAGACTCCTGGGCATCTGTCGGACTCTACGAGTCGTCATGGGGGGTTTGTTTCACTTCTGTCTCATTTGGGGGAGAGGGAGGAAGTGGGAGAGAGAAGGTGATAGAAAAAAGAAATCATTCCCCGGCCTCCTCCCCGGGGCGGCAGCTACAGCTCCTGAACGTCCAACAGTACCTGGGGTGCTGAGAAATGCAGAGCGGCCCTGCTTTTTGGCTGGACGTCTCTGGCCCATCCGGCTTCCTTCAAAGAGTGCAAAGCAGTGATAACTCCAGTTCAGCCAGGAGAGGGATGGACGGCCACCTGCCTCCAGCCCAGCCCTGGCTTTGCCCTCTCCCAAGCCCATGCTCCCAACTCCCAGGTAGGGCAAGAAAGCTCCCGACATGCCTGACCCCAGACCCCAGGGCAGGGAACCCCATCTTCAGTCCCCACTGGGAGGATTTTGGGAAGTCTTGGGCTTCCTCACTCTCACCCTGCCAACCTGCCAAGAGGGCACTTACCAGGGCAGCCTGGGCTGCCATCCTGATGCTTCTGTCTTGGCACCTCTTACATTTCTTGATCTGTGGGTTAAGAGAGCACAGCAGAGCTTCTGAGTCGGGCTAGGAGAAGAAAGGGGGCTGGCGGTCTCCAGCTCGTGACCTCCCTACCCTTCCGACCTTTCACATACTGATTAGGGTGCAAGCTCAGGCCAGGCTCTGACCTCACAGGGCTCTCTGCATACAGCAGATTGGGTTGGCTAAGTCTCCCTAACCAGCTTTATTCCTGAGGAAAAAGTGAGCTGGATGAAATCACCAAAGGGAAGAGGCATGCTCCAAAGGTGAGCCTTCTTGGGCGCCCATGAGCTTAAGGCCCTCCTAGCTCTAGCCCCCCAGTCACCCAAGCCCCCTTGGGCCACCTTTCATCTCTGGACCTTAAGTTTTCTCTCTGGTTCTCTAATCTAAGCTCCGATGACCATTCAGGATTAAATTAGCCAGTCTTCCATTTGGGTCACCCAAGACACAAGCTAGGACTCAGGAGCAGAAGTCAGAAAGGTGTGATTTTTAGCCAGGCTGATTAAAATCAAGGGTCTTGTTTGGAGCTGACGTGCACCTTGGAGGCCCCCTCATTTTCTAGGAAATTGTGGCTGAGACACATGACATATGACCTGGCCAGGGTCACCCAGCCAGGGGGATTCTGAAGTGGTACTCCATATGCAGAGCTCTACCTACTGTACCACCCAGCCTCCCTGCACACAACTTGAAGGCCGTTGTCTCGTTAACTGCTCCTACCCATTTTTGGGCATCGACAGACACCCCCGGCCAGTAGTATTTCTTGCTGAGGTTGGCGCAGGTGTTTCTCAAGCCATAGTGCCTGTCTTCAACAACGTGGGCCTCCCAAAAGGCCTTGTTCTTCTCCTCATCAGTGAAGAGAAATTTCTGATTTCGATTTTTGCCCTGGCGGTAAAGGACGCCCTCTTGGGAAAGAAAAAGAAAGAGGGGTTTGATTGTCACATGGCACCATTCTGTCCTTCCTTCCCCCCTCCCCCCAGGCTCTTCCTACTTACTCTGGGCTCTCCTAACTAGGAAATATGGTGCCCACTGGACTCCTAGCTCGCCACAATTTTCTGTCCCCTCCCCGCCCCATTTTCAGGCTCTGTCCTTGGTCCCCTTGTCTTCTCTGCCTTCTTTGGGCATCACTCATCAACTCCCATGGGGTCAAGCATCATCGCTATTCAGCTAAAACACTAAGTACCCTGTTCCTAGAGTTGTGCTGGGCAAGAGGAAGTCTCTGCCCTCAAGGGGCTCCTACCTGACCCAGGAGGAACCAGAGGAAAATGGAACCAGGACAATACAAAAGGTTTTTGTTTCCTTGGGGAAGGGTGGGGAAAGAAGGGCAAGCAGAAGGAAAACTTGGGGGTGCAGGAGAGAAACTGGCTCATAGTTGGGGGAACTAGTAAATGCCTCCTGCAAAAGATGGCACCTTGAACCAAGTCTTGAAGGACACCAGGCATTCCACAGGGTGGTAGTAAGGGATGCATTCTAGGTACAAAGCTCAGTCAAAGGTACAGCGCCCTAAGTGGGGTGTCCTCTGTGAGGAATGAGGCTCAGAGGCTGTGGATTGTTTGAGGGGACGAATGCTTAACGAATGCTAGGGAGGGTTTCAACGCCAAACAGAAACTGGTATTTTACCCTAGAAATAATATGAAGCTGATGGAGCTTACTGAGTAAGGTCAGACTCACACTTTAGGAAAATCACTGTGGCTCCTGGGGGAAGGGGCCTGCATATAGACAGCTGGTGATCAACTATGTAGAGATGACAATTAAACCCAGGAGGTTTGTCTTTCTTGCATTTTCAATGGGAGGTGGGATGGTGAGAAAACAGATATTTGCTAGAAAATTAAAAATCAAATGGGGTCATTTAAAAGAATAACTGAATGAAATAAAAAGAAAACATCACGCAAGGCAAGGAGGTAAGGAGGATACAACACAGGGAGAAGAGGGCCCAGGCAGAGCTCTGAGGGACATGAAAGAATGGCCAGGGAAACCCAAGGGGTGAGGAAAGGGGCGTCCACAGAGGCCGAGGCAGAAGATCGGCAGAGAAGGTAAGGCTGACAAGAGCTGAGGTTTGGCTGCCAGGAGCTGGCTAGGGGCTTTAGAGAGGGCAGCTTTGGTTAGCTAGGCAATTATTAATAAATGCTTCCTAACTCTGGGGGGAGGGGGGAGGGGTGGTGCAATGAGAAGAGGAGGGGGAGGGGTCCAAAAGGCAGCTCTCTCTGAAGTTTGGCGGGCACAGGGGGGGAAGAGGTGGACAGAAGAGTGAGATGTGGGGTCTGGGCGGAGATTGAGGTCGGGGCAGTCCTGGCTGTGGGTAGGCAACAGGAATTAGGGAGAGCATGGTGATGAGAAAGAGAGAAGGCATAGGCGTGTGAGCAAGGTGGGGAGGTGTTAGAAATGAGGTCCATGGCCTCGTATAGGGGGTGGGCTTGGCAAGAAGGGCCACCTCCTCGCTGGAGACCAGACTAAATCACAAGCAGGAACTTAGAGGTGTTTGGTAAATTGAATTCAGTGCACAGTAGGACTGGTTCAGTTCTGGGGCCCACCCCATAGCCAAGCTTCAGTAACCTTGTCTGCAAAATGTCTGGCTATTCAGTAAGGAGACACTGACCTGTCAGGAAATAGCTAGTAGACTTCTGAAGGGACTGTCTTCTCGGTGTTTGCAGGGAAGATCCTGCCTCCAGAAGGACGTCCCCACCGACCCCCTGGGAATCCAGACACTGTGCGGCTGGGACCTGGGCAGGTCTTTCAGCATCCCGGCTCACCTGCTCAACAGCCTTCCCAGTTCCGGCCATGGCTAGGCACTCAGCCCTCTCTGGGTGGGACAGACAGAATAGGCTCCCTCGAGTTTGGCCCTGCCCACTCCCCCCCCCCCCAGCCCCAGGCCGGCACTCCTTCCCCTCCCTCCTCCCACTCTCTGATCTTTTTGCTTTCACTGAACAAAGACCCTAATACAAGATTCCCCAAAATACCGGAACCAAGCCCATCCCACCATGAACGGGGATGGCCACACAATATCTGGTCCCTGCCACAGCCCCAGGATGAGGCCAGATGTGAGTAACCCCATTTAACAGAGAGAAGAAACTGAGGCTCAGCCAGGAAGGCACGTGCCTGTGGTCCCAACAACTACTAAGTGTTTCGGGTTCCAGGTCCATCTTCCTAAGCATTGACTGACAAGGGCATAATTCCTGGAAAGGGCATTCATTCATTCATTCTTCTTTCTTGTCTATCTAGTATCTATCTGTCTGTCTATGTATTTAGTAAATTATTTGTAGATACTCAGAACTTTGTTCTGCGCCTGGCAATGAATCAGCAGACATTAAGCGCCTACTGTGTGTCAGGTACAGTGCGAGGATGGGATACAAAGAAAGGCAAAACCAAAGCCCCCCACCCTCCAGGAGCAAGGAAGCTACTAGGTGAGATCTCCAGGTCAGATGGAGGTGGGTGCCCCCTGGAAAGGCACTAGCTGTGGGGGAGGGGCCAAGGAAGGGCCTCCAGAAGGTGGCTTTGGAACTGAGACTTCAAGGATGCCAGAAAAATATGAAGATTTGATCGGGGGGGGGGAGGGAAGCTTTGCAGAGGTCGGGGAACAGTCAGGAAAGACACAGACTGGAGATGGGGCTGGAGTCTTGAAGGGCTTTCATCACCTAAGGAGTCATTTGGCTTTTGGTCCTGGAAGCCCTAGCGAGCCACTGGAGATTATGGAATAGAGAGGTGACCTGGGTGGGCTTTGGGAAGATCACTTTAGTGGCTGGAGAATGGATTGGAGAGGGGAGAGACTGAGGCAGATAGGACCCCTCCCCCCAAGGAGGCTGTTGACTTAGTCCAGGCCTGAAGGGATGAGGGTGTACACCAGGGAGGTGAAGTGCTGAGAGAAGGGGAAATTCCAGCGATGTGCTAGGGCAGAAACCACCAGATTTGGCCACCGATTGGAAGAAAAAGGGAATCTCTGAGGTTAAAAGCATGGGTCAGCTGGGAGGAGGGTGGTGCCTTCAATAGACAGGTGCTGAATAGATGCTCGTGGAGCTGAAAAAATGACCCCATTCTGGTCCTGCCTCTTACACACTCACTCAGAGGCTTAACCTCCCCATGGCTCTCAGCCACCGTTAGAAGCTGCAGAGCATGAGCTGATGGGCACTGGT